GAGCGCGCAGCCTTGCCCATCGTCCGCGATTGTCGCGCCCCTTCACAGTGCCACCGTGCAGAGTCCACAGCTTGTCCTGCCATGCCTGATGTCATGTCACTACACCACCCTCATGTCCTCACCCTGACGCGACGGACGCTGGCCTCCTCCGCTCACCTCAATGACGGCGAAGGGCCTGTCCGCGGAGTGGTGGCAGGTTTGGAACTGTGTGAGCCAGTGGCGCGCCTCCCCGGGGCTGGCCCCGCACTGGTTCAGGAAAGCCTGGATGTCCCGCTGCACTAGTGAGCGGCCGGCGGGGGACTCGGGAGGCTCAGGGGATAGCGGGGATGCGGGGAACTGCGTCCACGGCGGCTCCTCAGCGACCGGAGACTGGGCCCCCTCCTCCGCGCCCTCGGCGTCCTCCCGGCTGTGCTGGGCCTGGTTCCTCTGGGGCCGCGCAGCCTTCCGCCTGCCCCGACGGTCCTCAGGGCTGCGGCCATCCGCGCCGTCGCCATGACGACATCCAAACCAGCGCGCCCCCCCACGCGTGGCAGTCGATCTGGAGCACCCGGCACTGGGGGGGCCCTTAACTTGCCGCGGGGCGGGGCTGGACCAGGCCTGGGCGGGGTATGGGCCCGGAACCTGGAGTCGCCTCTGGATACCTTTGAGTAGGGTCAGGCCTTAGGTTAGGGGGTGGGGCCACCAGGATCCCCCGCCCCAGGGGACGGAACCCACTAACGAGTGTCACGAGGCCGAGATAAAGGGTGACAGGGCGTCTTTAATTTGCTGCCAAGGCCGCTTCCAGGGAGGGCTCAGCCGACCAAGGGGTGGCTTGGGAGTCCGCGGGACACTGGGTGATTAAAGGGGCCCTTGGGAGTCCGCGGGACACTGGATGAATAAAGGGGCCTTTAGGGCAGGGAGGAAGAACAGAAGGAGGCAGAGGAGCCTGGAAGGGGAGGTGGGGGGGTGGCGGCCTTGCTGGTGGACGATCTTTTCGGTTTGAGCTCAAAGACGATCCCAAAGAATGTGAGGTCACCAGGGGTTGCCAAACTCCAGCCACTGGTACCACCTTGAGGAATTTTGCTATATTTTCAAAATAATTCATATTAGGGAGCAGGCAAATGGCGTGGTGATTAAGAGCGCTGGAATCCCACTTAGTCCACTCTGGTTCGAGTCCTGGACCTAGTAGGTTGCTTTCTCGTTTTCCCTCTCCTGCTCTCTCGCTCTCGTTCTGTCCCTCTCTGGTCAAGTTAAAAATGAATAGGTAAATAACATTAAATTAAATAATAATTTTTTAAAATTAACTCATGCTAGTATTGACGTTTTTCTTTAATAACTTCTAAAGAAATTGCCCGAAGGCATGAGCACTGGGGGAGAACGGGGAAGGCTGTCATGCCACAATGGCTTCTCCTTCATTTCTCCCTCTTAGGATCTTGGGCACACTTGCACACGCGCCCTGTGGAGACTAGAATAGGCACAACCACGGGGAATCCACCAACCCTAATCCTGCCCTCTTTAAATGCTTAAACGTAAACTGTATCTGTGTGGGAATCAGCAGATGGCAGAATGCTTACATCACTAGACTCCCACGGAGTCGACTGCAGTTGGAGTTCTCAGTCCTGTGGCTTAAAACTCATGCTGGGCATGTGTGTGTGTACCCCAAATCCAGAGGGGAGCATGGAGGAGAAGGGATTATTGTGTGTCCATCCCCCTTGCGGGGTGATTTCTCTCTCTTTCTCTGTCTCTCCGTGAGCACTAGCGTCCTATAGCAAAAATCTCTCAAGAAAAAAGAAATGTATCCATATGTGTAACTAAAGGGCCAGCATCATTGATCATAAACAGGAGAAGCTTTAAAAATAAAGTGAGAACAAGGGATCCACAGGTGATGTGGTGGGTTTAGGTGCTGGACATTCCCACATGGCCGACCATGGTTCAAGTCCCGGTCTTGGTGGCTTGCTTTCTCACTCCCTTCCCCTATGCCTCTCTCTAATCAAATCAAAATAAATGAATGAAAAAGAAAAGAAAAAATAAAGTGAGAACAAAAGGACGTTATTAAATTTCAGCCTGATAGTGTTGCCGTCTGTGCTGGTTACATGAAAGATTAGCAAGTATCAAATATTACAGATACCCTTCACCTCCTGTGGGCTTTTTTTTTTTTTTTTAACACAAATAGTAACACTCATTTAATCCTCACAAGGAGGATTCCTATCAAGATAGGTATTATTATCCCACTATACAGATGAGGAAATTGAGGCACAGACGTATGAGGGGCAGTGGAGCTGGTCTTTGAAGCAAAGCAGTTCTGCTCTGGATCCGTGCTCTTAAGCAACATTTGGAGAGGACTTGAAAGCCTCGGAAACTTTCACAGGACATGACTCATTGTTACATTGTAATGTGTCCATGTGCTGTGTACCCACTGTCCACTTGGGTACACTCTGATCCAGCACAGCCCGAGGCACCAGGAGAAAACAGGCCTCTCTTGTTGAAGAGGGGAGGCCACTTGGCCTGTCAGTGTAGTGGACAGACCTCAGACACCTTGAGTTCCTGCAAATTGCTTTTTTTTTTTTTTTTTTTTTTCCTGCTTTGCCTGGGGCACAGTACCCTTTCAAAATAAAGAAGTGGAGCTGGCATGTGGCATGGTCGTTGGAGCACTGGACTCCCACATGGCCGACCATGGTTTGAGTCCTGGAGCTGATGGCTTGCTTTCTCACTTTCTCTCTCGCTTTCTGGTAAGCACATGTGCACTGTAGCAAAATTTAAAAATAATAATGATAAATAAAATTAAATAATTATTTTTGAAAAGAGAGAGATGCCTTGGGAACTGCCTAAATGGGTTGAGGATCCTGGGTGAGTGTACCAACTCCTTCCTGGGATCTCCCTGACCAACAGTTGTATATGCATATGCCCTCCGCCACGCATGCGCATGTGCACACACACACACACACACACACACACACACACACATGCCCACCCA